TTCTCAGGGGGTGAGAGGATCTCAATAAACGGCCAGATATATTTCATGCTTGTTTTTCTTCACAAATAGTATGTTGTGGAAATAATTAAAATGAAGGATATGTACTTCAGATTTGACTGTAATTTGATTCTTTTTTGATATAGTACTAATGTGTCTTTCGAGATGATCACTTTGAAACTGTTAGACTATTTTTGTCTGTGTAATAAATCCTTCAAATCCTCCTTTGAGGTTTCTAGCACAGCAAAAGTGTCTTAGGTTTAGCACAACACTTAAACCATTTGCTAATTTTTAACACATAAGAACAGAAAAATCTGAGCTCTTTCTAGCTGTCAGAGCTATTCAGGAATGTATTGTGCAAACAGAGAAAGTGAGTTTCCTATTACTAGAAGTATTTAATATGGCCCAGTAGACAACTTGGGGGCTTCCAGGGGAAAGAATTGAAGTAATAGATTTGATGAGAGGATATTTTATGATCTGCTGGCTCATCTTAGTAACCAGTTTATGCTATGAGAAAAGCAACATAATTTATCTAAAACTCCTGTACATCAGCAGAATACAATTCCTTAGAGGGAATATATGATACATTAAATTCTAAAAGAAATCTCTAAAATGAAATTTACATTAAAACTTAAATATAGAAAATAAGTCCTTTATATATTTAACTTTGGAGCAAAAATGTTAATTTTTGGAATAGATTTTGCCTGTAGGTTTGTAATCTTTTGTATATTACCACTGTTAGTGACAGCTTCTTCTAATAAAAATATTTTTATATTTTAAAATAATGTATTATTAATTCCAGTGATTTGGCTTTTTCAGTTAAGTCTGTCAGACTGTAAGGACAAAAAATCCGGTCTTATCTACCTCCTTTGAGATAAATGAAAAAGGGAAATCTCTGAATTACTAACCTTCTCAAAGTTCTTGTTCTTTGTAAAATGTGGATCTCCTCACACCTACCTCAATAATTTGTAGTGAGGAATGATAAAAGCAATCAAACGTGTTTAGGCTTGGTATGGTGTGTTACAAATAGTAAGGACTAAATTTTCGTCATTATATTTAGTTTTGGCTTCAGTTATAAACCCAGATGATTTCAAAATTTCCATCAGTATCTTTTACTATCCCAGAGTACCTACTCAGAAGTTCTAATCAATTGCAAAACAACTCTACTTGAGTATCTTGCAATATCTGCAGACTTAAGGTGTCCAAAATTTAACTCATCTTCTTCCTCTCAACTTGCTTCTACCACTTTCTTCTTCTTCTACATGTTGTGTCCCTACTGTTTTTTAGGCACTGGGATGGGTTCTGAAATTATATAAGACACCATGCTGGCTAAATACATCCACAGACTCTAGTGGAGGCAAGCATGGCAAAATCTCTTGGAAAATGTAATGCAGCATTGCACATTAAGTACGAAGGGTTGGAACACATTAAGGGCAACAAAGTCTGCACCTACCTTTATAGAAAACTGACTGAGAAGTAATGACGTCACCATGTAAGCAATGGTTCAAACCAAAAACTTCAACAAAATCCTAAATATTTAAGTTCTCCTAATCATGCATATAAAAAGTTTGTCAACTCTTTTACAGTTCTATTTCTGAAATTTATCTCCAATCTCCCATGCCTCGCTTTTTTCTCCTGTTGACTAATTTTAGTCAGCCCACATTATAATTTCCAAATGTCTCCTAACTCTTTTCCTTTGCGCTCTCTCTTCATTCTACCCATCCTTCATCCTCCATAACTCAGCAGAAACCTGCCCTCTCCTCTCCTTTCTCGTTTTATTTCTCAGAATCTTTTCACCTCACAACTATGCAGAGGCAGTATGGTGTAGTGGGTTAAAAGTAGAGACTGTGCTGCTGAATTTTTGGTTTCAGATTTCACCTAAACTTGGGCAGATTGCTTAACCTTTATGTGACCTTTTCTATTGGTAAAATGGGGGAATAGTACCTATCTCATTCAGTTGTTTTGAACATTAAATGCGTTTATGTGAAATAAGCACTTAGAATAGTAGCTGGCATGTAAAAAGAATTATGTGTATTTTCTGTCATTATTTTTACTCCTTCTGTCTGGAGAGAAATTTTTCTAAAGCACAGGCCTGCTTAGAAGCTCCCTATTAATGCTATATACAGTGCCGTGGCTACAAGATGGAGACTGAATTGCTCAATGCAGTTAATTGGTTTTCACCACCCCAAGCTACCTCAGTGCTCTTCATAGCCCTAGGAGAGCTCAAGTCCCACTATGAAACCTGTGCCCACTACCCTCAAACAAATACTTTGCTTTAGTGCCAGTCAAGTTCTCACTGCTCCCAAATCAAGGTAAAGTACTTTAATCCCTATGATTTGCAGCCTCTCATTGCTTGCTTAGAAAAAAATCCTACTTATTTTTCAAAACTAACTCACTCATCATTTCACAAACACTCCTCTGCCACTCCTTTTACAGAACACAAGCATCTTCAGAGAACAAAATGGCAAAAGCTGACATTTACCCAATACTGGCTAGTTACCAGGAACCCTGAAAACCCTACATGTGGTTTACTGCTTAACTCTTGCAATCCTTTGAGGTAAAGAATATAAATTTTCCTAAAGAAAACGAAACCAAAACAGAGAAAAGTTAAGTAAAATTTTTAGGTTCATATAGCTATTAGCTGATGAACCTATTACTTGAGCCCAAGCCTGTGACTTTAAAGTTAATAATCTCGATTTCTGTGCTTAGTTTGTACTGTTTTACTTACAAGTCACAGCGTCAAAGACAAGTAAGTGTCTTGCCCACTAACTGAAAGTTTTTATTGCCTTATATGAGAATTGTGTAAAATATATTAATAGTTTTCACAATGAATCAAAATAGAAAGGTTAAATCATGTTCTTCATCCCTTGATGGGTAAGTAAAGACATATATGACCGTTTTATAATAATACGAGGTAGTTGCTATAATATGGGTATTTGTCCCCACCCAAATCTCATGTTGAAAGGTAATCCCCAATCTTGGAGGTGAAGCCTGGTGGGATGTGTTTGGATCATGGGGGAAGATCTCTCATGAATTGTTTGGGCCATTTCCTTGGTAGTAAGTGAGCTCTTGCTCTGAGTTCACACCAGATCTCATCATTTAAAAGTATGTGGTACCCCAATCCCTTATTTCTGCTTTCACCATGTGGTGTGTCTGTTCCCACTTTGCCTCCCACCATGACTGAAATTTCCCTGGGGCTTCACCAGAAGCCAAGAAGATGTCAGCACCATTCTTCCTGTATAGGCTGTAGAATTATGATCCAATGAAACCTCTTTTGTTTATAAATTACCCAGGCTCAGGTATTTCTTTATAGCAATGCAAGAATGGCCTAACGTAGGAGCCATCCTAGAATTTTTACAACGTGCAAAGGGCTATGCTGAGCCCTTTGTAAGACTTATGGCATTTAAGCTCCTAGAAATCCTGTGAGGTAGATATTCTAATTATCTTCATTTTATAAATGAGGAAACTGAGGTCTAGACAAAGTCACTTGTTCTAGTCACATGGTGACAAAGCTGGGAATCGACAGAATTGTGCCTGACTCTAAAGCCAGTATATGTATGGCTACTGTGTTCTGTTAACTTCATTAAATAATGATTTGAATCTAAAATTCTTTCACTGAAACCAGCTTTGATATTCAAATGGGTAAATACTTAGCTACATAACAAAATTATGTGGCATATCAAATATATTTCTAAGTGACTTGAAATCATATTGAAAAATATATGAAAGGGCTTTTGATTTTTGAGAATTTAGCCCAACTTTTAGATTACATAAAAATAGTAATTATATGCTACATGTCATGGAATGAGCATTTTCTCTGGGGCACATCTTTTTATTTTATTTTAGAATAAAATAAAAACCTTTTTTTTTTAAAAAAAAATCTAGTTATTTTCTTCAGTTATTATTCTGTGCCACTGAAATAGGGCTCTCTTCACGGCTTTGAATTAAAATAATTATCAGGGTTGATTCACTCAGTAAGGGTGGGAATGAGTTGATTCACTCAGTAAGGGTGGGAATGCTATGGTTGCTCTTTGAGAGAGGTTGAGGGGAGAATAGAATACAGGAAAAAGGGTATTGGTCTGGGAAACTGATCATCATCATGTAGGATGAGTTTTGTAAATAATGCCAGACCATATTTAGTACTCAATAAATATGGAATAGGTAAATGTATATTTTTAAACCATTAAAATCTTGTGTCAGTCATAGATGATAAGTTGAATCAATGTTGATTTCTACTCAATTAAGTAAAAATATTCTATAAACAAACAGGTCTATAATGGGCTGTTATTTGACAAGAGAGTTGTTGCATCAAAGCAGAGATTAGATAATGATCACCTTCAGGGATCCCACAGGAAAATTTCCTATACAGTGAGAAGTTGGGTTCGATGAGCTTTATGCTCCACTCCATTCCTGAGACAATGTGATTCAGTGATTTCTTGATGGAGAGAGAAAAATGCATAACAAAACAAAAACAAAAACAGAACAGACTTGCTCACTGAGATGAAAGAATCCCAGAATTTCTTGGACTCAGGTTCTCCATTCAGAAGATAAATCAAAGTAGTAGAGTCAAAAGAGGCTGTTATTTCCATGATACTAAAAGTTGCTAAAAGTGGAGGCAAAAGAAGTAACCTGCTGTTATTAACCTAACCCATTAAAGGCTTGCATTATGTCCTGGTTAGATGTGTCATCTCTATTAAGAAATGACTATTTCCCAGATCATGGCTCTAGAACAGGTTTAAAATAATGAATCATTGGAAATAATTCCTATGAAATATTATTACACAATATGACCCAAATTAATACTACTTTATGTTTGAATGGTACATAAATAATTCTTATTGTGTTCACATATATTATTAGACTCACATATAAGTCTGGGGTGGATATTACTGTCATTGCCATTGTATAGAGGAGTAAATTGGACTTAGAGAAGTTAAATAACTTTCTCAAAATCTCATAAACTAGTGAATTTCTGAAATAAGTCTTAAAATGGATTCTTGGGTTCAAAACTCATTTTCTACAATGGCGCCATTCTCATGTGAGTCTTCTGCAATGATCAGTAAGGCTGTCATCACCAGTTGTCTTGATTCTATACCCAGATCCCTCTTTCGGAACTCTGCCAGGTCAAGCTCTAGACTGGTCATAAAGCAGAGAAACCCATTCACTGATCTTGGTTGACAAGGCTCAACTAGTAACCCATGTTCTTTAACAGAGAATCACTTTTTTGAGTGTGGAATTCAGTGGTGCCATCAATGGAGATAGAGAGAGAGAGCTAACTGAACACCTGCTCTGAACCTACGTGATCTCTGTTGGAAGTTGTTTATATAAGTTTCCTTAGAGGGAAGATCACTAGCGTTCTTTTTTTTATTGTGCTTTAGGTTCTGGGGTACATGTGCAGATCATGCATGATTGTTGCATAAGTACATACATGGCAAAGTGGTTTGCTACCTTCATCCCCCTATCACCTATATCTGGTATTTCTCCCCTCATTATCCCTCCTCAGCCTCCCCACCCCGAACTGTCCCTCCCCTAGCACCCACCAACTGATTGCAGTATGTGATGCTCCCCTCCCTGTGTTCACGTGTTCTAATTGTTCAACATCTGCCTATTAGTGATAACATGTAGTGTTTGGTTTTCTGTTCTTGTGTCAGTTTGCTGAGGGTGTTGTTTTCCAGATTCATCCATGTCCCTATGAAGGACACAAACTCTTCGATTTCTATGGCTGCATAGTATTCCATGTTGTATATGTGCCACATTTTCTTTATCCAGTCTATTGCTGAAGGACATTTGGGTTGGTTCCAGGTCTTTGCTATCGTAAACAGTGCCACAATGAATATATGTGTGTGTGTGTCTTTATAATAAAACGATTTATAATGCTTTGGGTATATACAGAGTAATGGGCTTGCTGGGTCAAATGGAATTTCTATTTCTATGTCCTTGAGGAGTGGCCACAATGTCTTCCACAATGGTTGAACTAATTTACACTCCCAACAACAGTGTAAAAGTGTTCCTATTTCTTCACATCCTCTCCAGCATCTGTTGTCTCCAGATTTTTTAATGATCGCCATTTTAACTGCTGTGAGATGGTATCTCAATGTGGTTTTGATTTGCATTTCTCTAATGACCAGTGATGATGAGCATTTTTTCATATGTTTGTTGGCCTCATAGATGTCTTCTTTTGTAAAGTGTCTGTTCATATCCTTTGCCCACTTTTGAATGGGTTTTTTTTTTCTTATAAATCTGTTTTAGTTCTTTGTAGATTGTGGATATTAGCCCTTTCTCAGATGGGTAGGTAGCAAAAATTTTTTCCCATTCTGTTGGTTGCCAGTTCACTCTAATGATTGTTTCTTTTGCTGTACAGAAGCCCTGGGGTTTAATTAGATCCCATTTGTCTATTTTGGCTTTTGTTGCCATTGCTTTTGGTATTTTAGCCATGAAGTTGTTGCCTATGCCTATGTCCTGAATGGCTTGGCAAAAAAAAAAGCCAAGACCCATTGGTATGCTACATCCAGATCCATCTCACATGCAAGGATACATAAAGACTCAAAACAAAGGGATGGTGAAAAATTTACCAACCAAATGGAGAGCTAAAATAAATAAATAGAAAGCAGGAGTTGCAATTTTTGCTGATAAAATAGATTTCAAAGCAATAAAGATCAAAAGAAGCAAAGAAGGATATTACATAAAGATAAAAGGATCAATGTAACAAGAAGAGCTAAAGATCCTAAACATATATGCACCCAATACAGAAATACCCAGATATATAAGACTTAAAAAGAGACTTGGACCCCCACACAATAATAGCGGGAGACTTCAACATCAATATTAGATAGATCAATGAGACAGAATGTTAACATCGATATCCAGGACTTGAACTCAGATCTGGAACAAGTAGACTTAATTAACATTCATAGAACTCTCCACTTTAAATACACAAAATATACACTCTTATCAGTACTACATCACACGTATTTACAGGTTTAAATGAAATATTGGTTGGCTGCTTGTTAATTATTTTATTCCCTCATTTTTTTTTATGTCTCTATTATTAAACACAATTACAGGCATACCCAGTTTTAGACTGCATTCTAGCCCGGGCAATAAAGCAACACCCCTGTTCTCTCTCCCTCTTCCTCTTCCTCTTTCTTCCTTTCCTGTATTCTTTTTCTTTTTTTTTTTTTTTAATTCTTTTTCTTCCTTTCAAAAGAAAAAAAAAAAAAAAAGATGTATGATGTATGGTGCTGCTTCTGAGGCCTTTGTTCTGTTCTATTGGTCTATGTCTCTGTTTTGGTACCAGTACCATGCTGTTTTGATTACAGTGGCCTTGTAGTATAGTTTGAAGTCCAGTAGTGTGATGCCTCCAGCTTTGTTCTTTTTGCTTAGGATTGTTTTGGCTATGCGGGTTCTCTTTTGGTTCCATATGAAGTTTGAAGTGGTTTTTTCCAGTTCTGTGAAGAAGGTCATTGGTAGCTTGATGGGGATAGCACTGAATCCATAAATTACTTTGGGTAATATGGCCATTTTCACATTGTTGATTCTTCCCAACCATGAGCATGGAATGTTTTTTCATCTGTTTATGTCCTCTCTTATTTCATTGAGAACTGGTTTGTAGTTCTCCTTGAAGAGGTCCTTTACATCTTCTGTTAGTTGTATTCCTAGGTATTTTATTCTCTTTGTAGCAATTGTGAATGGGAATTCACTTTTGATTTGACTCTCTGTTTGTCTATTATTGGTGTATAGAAATGCTTGTGAATTCTGCATATCGATTTTGTATTCTGATATTTGGCTAAAGTTGCTTATCAGTTTCAGGAGATTTTGAGCTGAGATGATGGGGTCTTCTAAATATACAATCACGTGATCTACAAATAGAGACAATTTGGCTTCCTCTTTTTGTAATTGAATACTCTTTTATTTCTTTTTCTTCCCTGATTGCTATGGCTAGAACTTCCAATACTGTATGGAATAGGAGCGGTGAGAGAGAGCATCCTTGTCTTGTGACAGATTTCAAAAGGAATGCTTCCAGTTTTTGCCAGTTTAGTATGGTATTGGCTGTGGGTTTGTCATAAATAGCTTTTATTATTTTGTGATACATTCCATCGATACCTAGTTTATTGAGGGTTTTTAGCGTAATGGCTGTTGAATTTTGTTGAAGGCCTTCTCTGCCTCTATTGAGATAATCATGTGGCTTTTGTCTTTGATTCTGTTTATGTGATGGATTATGTTTATAGACTTGCATATGTTGAACCAGCCTTTATCCCCAGGATGAAGCCTACTTGATCATGTTGAATAAGCTTTTTGATTTGCTGTTATATTCTGTTTGCCAGTATTTTGTTGAAGATTTTTGCGTCGATGTTCATCATGGATATTGGCCTCAAGTTTTCTTGTTTTGTTGCATCGCTGCCCAATTTTGGCATTAGGATGATGTTGGTCTCATAAAATGAGTTGGGGAGGATTCCTTCTTTTTGTGTTGTTTGGAATAGTTTCAGAAGGAATGGTACCAGCTCCTGTTTGTACATCTGGTAGAATTTGGATGTAATCCTGTCTGGGCCTCGGCTTTTTTTAGCTGGTAGGCTATTAACTGCTGCCTCAACTTCAGCCCTTGTTGTTGGTCTATCCAGGGTTTCAACTTCTTCCTCTTTTAGTCTTGGGAGAGTGCAAGTGTCCAGGAATTTATCCATTTCTTTCAGATTTACTGGTTTGTTAACATAGAGTTGTTTGTAGTAATCTCTGATGGTAATTTGTATTTCTGTGGAATCAGTGGTGATGTCCCCTTTATCATTTTTTATTGCATCTATTTGATTCTTCTCTCTTTTCTTTTTTATTAGTCCAGCTAGTGGTCTATCTATTTTGTTTATCTTTTCAAAAAACCAGCTCCTAGATTTTTTGATTTTTTGAAGGGTTTTGTGTCTCTATCTCGTTCAGTTCTGCTCTGATCTTAGTTATTTCTTGTCTTATGCTGGCTTTTGAGTTTTTTTTATCTTGTTCCTCTAACTCTTTCAATTTTTATCACTAACATTCTTAAGCAATAGAATGAGGATCCATGTATATATCTTGAGAATCAGATGGTACAGAAACTGGACTGTCCCTGATGCTTTGACCATGATTGCCTTATTTCCAAACATGGCTAATTCTAAGAAGCCACATATATTTTGATGAATCAAGAACCAGAGACTTCCATTGTGTTCAGTCTCAAAGGGCATACTTGGCTACTGAGCATCAACTGCATTGCCATTTCTAAAGGAAGGGCAATATTTGCTCTTCTCACTAGGCCAAACATTTGGAAAGAACTCAGTTATCAGGAATCAAGATTTTAACAAAATAATCTTTGTTTATGCCCTTTGGCTCTGACTATGCACAATAGCATTTAAAGAGCCATTCTATGGCTCTATGATAAGATCACTGGCAGTTCCTCTGGCCTTTTGTGTTCATGGGCTGGCAGGCACTCTGTGACTCCAATGAACATAGCATCTAGGCCTGAAAAGGCTGGGTTACAGAGAACTTACGTTTATTCCTCTGTAAATCAATAAAACAGCCAGAATTTGTTCAGGTGAGCTGCCATGGGGATAGGAATTATGATGTTTCCTAGGGAACAGAGTACAGCAGTGTTTAAGAGCTTGGGTTCTAGAGCTAGTAAGTGCCCTTGTCAGTCATAATTCCACTATTTCCTATTTGTGTTGAACACCATAATTTGTCTTCAGTGAACCTCATTTCTCATACGGGAGAAAAAAGAAGACTCATTCATTAACCTACTACTTTTGGTTTTTGGTTTTTTGAACTCCTACTATGCTCATTACCATTTTATGTGTTAGGGTATACCCTGGTAAATGTTATAAACACTACCTTCAAGAAGTTTACAAGCTGGTGATATTAAAAGCTATGTATTCATAAGGTTGTTTTGGGGCTTAAATGAGATCATGATATAAAGCATTTAGTAAGAACCTGGTATCATATTTTCTTCAATGAATGTTAGTAAACTCAGGAGACACACAAGAACTATCTTAAAAATACCAAAAGTGTTCTCAATTAGACATTTTTTCTCTGTGGCCCCAAGAGCTACATTTAGGACACATGAGGGGGTAAATAATACATGGTCAATTTAACTTAATGAATTTTTGGTAGTAAAATTCCTCATTAAT